CCGCGTCCGCCCCCGCGCCGCCGGCGCCGGCGGGAACCACTGCGGGCAGCCTCGCCTCTTCATCCTGGGAGTACAACAAAGCCCCGAGGAAGAGGAAGGTCCTCCCGAGCACACGGAGAGCGGCGTCCCGGGGCTGATGCTGCCACACTGAGGAGTGAGGTGGGGTTGGAGGCTTCCGTTCCAAGCAGAGTGGGGGCAGACACATCGGGGGAAGGACAACTGCCCCGTTCTCCTCCCTGTGAAGTTTGGGGGGGGCACGACTAAAGAGATGGACAACCCTGGGGGAGACTCATCCCTACCTTTGTTTCTCGGGAGGCCCCTGGTAAGTGAGGCCCTGGGGTGGGGGTCCTCCGGCCTCCTTTTTTTTTCTGTTTCTGTTTGTTTTTCTTTTTTGTTTTGCTGCCCTGGCATCCCGCCCTGATGCAGCAGCAAAGCTCCTCCTGTTTCTGGAGGGAGCCTCTAGTCCCCAGCCCCACGCGGATCTGGAGCTACACCCCTTCCAAGGGTTGCTGAACAAAGTCCATAATGTGTCCCCCCCCCACACACACACACCATGTGTGACACCCTCTGTCTTCTTGCTTCCCTAGTGGAGTCCACCATGCAGCCTCACCTGTGGACGTGGGTGAACCCTAGCCTGGTCTGCCCCATTCCTGGGCCGGTGCTCTTCCCCCCAGCTGGCCAGGAGGCTCCTCCAGCCGCCCACTTGCTTTGCCTCCAGGAGGAACAGCTGTGCTCATCCCTGGCCAGCCAAGCAGAGGAGGTACCAAGGAGGCCTCTTGTTCTCCGTCTGGGGCACTGAAGGACTCCCACAAGGCAGCCTTTGCAGGCCAGCAGATGATGGGCCGACTGGGGGCTGGGAGGAGGGGGTGGGGGCTGCCCTGGCTCAGTCCAGGAGTCCCGGAGAGGGATCTCTTCTGTGGCCCACAGAGCCCTGGGCCGGCCCTTTTGACAGAAAGGCCAGCCAGTGGGCCTTTCTCAAGACCCACCATGCTTCTCCCAGGACTGGAGCCAATCCTAGGCAAGGGAGGGGCATCTCTGGAGGGAGGGGATCCTTTCTGCTGCCCCAGGCTCACTCTGCGGGCCACCGGTGGGGGAGGGCAGGGTGCAGCAGCCCTTGCCCCCCACCCACCTTTTCCTTGGAAACTCACTCTGGCCTGATTTGTGCCCCTCCCTTTGCAGAGGGGAGGGGAAGCCCCCCAGCCCGTGCTGGCTGATCTCCCTCAGGCAGAAGACGCTCAAAGAGGCCAAACGCCAGCATCTCGGAAAGCGAAGACTCTTCGGTCCCGGGGCAGGAAGCTGAAGAGGATCCAGGGGGGCTGGGCCCGTCCGCCTCTGAACTACTGCATCCTCATCAGCCTGGCCCTGAGCAGCAGTGCGGACGGCAGCCTGACAGTGCAGGAGATTTACCAGTTCACAAGGTACTAGCTCCTGGGGGTGGTGGTGGAATGGATTGTGTGTTTTGGGGGGTGTCCTTGGCTTGTCCCTTTTGCTCTGCAGGCAGTCTTGCCACTGGGCTGGCCGTGGCACTCCTGTCTCAAATGGCCAGGCGTGAGGACCACGGTGGTGGGTTGGCAGAGCTCTCTTGCTGAGGAGTTCTCAGGATCCTTGTTGAAGAAAGAATCGTTCCCCCACGCTGCCCACTCCCCAGGGTGCTCCAGTCAGCCATGGGAATCTCCCTTCCCACCCCTGAGCTTTTCTCCTGCAGCCCATGTGGCAGAAGAGCATGGTGGGGTGGGGTGGGGTGGGGTGGGGTGTGTGTGAGGCTCCTCTCCGTGTTCCAGGGAGGCACCCCGGAGGCCACCCTGCTCCTTCGTCTTCCTGGCAGGCAGCACTTCCCCTTCTTCCGCACCGCTCCGGAGGGCTGGAAGAACACCGTCCGGCACAACCTGTGCTTCAGCAGCAGCTTTGAGAAGACCACCGACTTTGTCTGCCTGGAAGGGAACCGCAAGTCCCGCCTGTGGAAGCTCACCTCCGAAGGGCGGCGGAAGTTCCAGGAGGAGATGCAAGTGCTGACCGAGGAGGTGATGGGGCTGGTGCACCAGAGCATGGACAGGCCAGGTGGGCTGCCCTCTCTGCCTCCCAAAGCATGGGATGCTCCTCACATGTGTGTGTGTGTGTGTGAAGGGGGGGGGGTCTAAAAGAGGAACCACCATGGGGTGCTGAAGGGCTGGAGGGAGAGTTCAGGGGCTAAGCAAGCCATGCTGCCCAGCAGTGTTTTAGCAGAAGCCACACACCTGGGGTAGCTCTCGGCAGAGTCTCCTCAGCCAGCTTGGGGTGGGGTGGAGGACGGTGGCGTAGCAGTGCTTGCCTTGCCTTGGCAAAGCCCTCGGCCTCAGTGGTCCTCTGCTCCTGTCTCCCTCTTTCCCCAGAATTAATGAGTTCTCTCTTTGGACTCTGATCTGGAGGGCGCCTCCTCAGCCACGCAAGTGCAGAGAACGCCAACCCTAACTGGTCACTCACTTCTTTCTGGGAAGTGATGTCCTTCTGAGGCCTTCAGAAGAGGACCTCCAAGTGGCTGGAAGGAAGCTGGAAGTGCCGAGGAAGCTGAATCGGGGCCATGTTCAGAGGCTCCTTCAGAGACATCCTCTGGGGTGTGGAAGGACCCCAAGCTGGAAAAGACAGAGGACCTTTTGCCCCATTGCCTGTGCTGTGGGTCACGTTTTGCTTCTTTAGGGCAGAGGTGGGCCGCCATGACCCTCCAGATGGGGCTGGACAGCAGGCCCCACTGCATGGCGCTCTTCTCCACCCCTCCGTGCGCTTGGCGGCGCTGGCTCCCTTGGCTGAGCATCAGATTTTGCCGGTGAACAACACCTGGAGGCCATTGTTTCCCACACAGCGATTTCTTGGAGGTGGGCAGCAGACTCCCCCCCCTCCCCATATGACTGGATTTGCCAAACCTCTGCTCATCGCCCTGCCAGGAGGGCTGGGGGTGTGACCCCTTTTTTGTGTTGAGGGTTTCCTGAGGGAAGGAACGTTGGAAGAGAAAGTGCAAAGAGCTGGATGTGGAGAGCTTTCATTTTATTTCTGATGTTTTGGTTCCTGTTCTTGACATGTGGAGAATCCTTCAGCTGTTCCACAATAAAAGATTCTGAAACAGTGCAATCATCATTCCTCTGTAGGGTTGGCCTGGGATACCTCCTGCTTTTCTCTCTCTCTCCCTTTCTTTGCTTTGCTTTTCCTCTTCCGTGGCGGGTTGTGGGCCTCTCAGCTTTGCTGTGGAGATAGAGAGGGGCCTGGGCTGCAATCCTTGTTCATCGTGTGCCATGGGGGTGGGGGGAAGGAAAATGGGGGTGAGGCGGGGAGACAGCTCCTCTCCTCCAAGCCCCTTGCTTTGCCCGCCTTTTTGATCCAGTGAAGGCCGTGGATGGTTCCCTCCCAAACAAAGAAAAACTCCCGCAAACGGTGAGCACCACTTCTTCTGTAGGGCTGGCGGAGACAGAATAACAGATGTGTGTGTGTGTAAAACTACTGATGCCCTCTCCCACCACCACCACCCGCGGTTCCAAGGGCTGCTCTTCCATCCTAGAGAGGAGACGATGGAGCAACGTGTCTGCCTTAGCACGTGTGAATAGGTGCTTCTGTTGCCCACACCCAAGCCCATGAAGGGCTTTCCCGGGGCGGGGGGGGGAAAGCAGTCTGCGCGGGGCCCCTCCTGCTGCCCGTCTCGGGGCTACAGACAGGCTTCCCACAGGACCCGCTTTCCTTGAGTTCTGACGAGCACGGACTCCCGGCGGAACCTAAGCGCTGCCTTGCCGCAGCCGCCGAGACGCTGACGTCACCCGGCAGTTCCCGGGAGGACCACCAGGGGCGGACTTGGCCCGCTCGCCCCGGAGCCGGCACCTGTTTCGCTGGCCGACAGAGGGCGCCTTCGCCGGAAGTCCCTCCTTTCTTGGGCATCGCGACTTCCTGGCCTGCAAA